ATCTTGATAATTGAGAGAAATATGCACTTGTGACCAATGGGAACAAGACCTTGTCCAATCATGACAATTTCTTCAATCAACCCCTTGTACTTTTAAATCAATTTTGATAACTTTGAAATGTGGTGAACCAAAATAAACAGTGCCATGCCATTTATTATAAAACAACTTCAATGGTGAGGTTTGATTTTCTCAAGCTTTATTGACTAGGGCATGGAAATAAACTCATGAACCCATGGATCAAATTGCCAAGCCACATTGCCTTTACCTACATTATTAATAAGTAAGACAAACTAACATTGCATTTTATTAATTAAAAGGAAAGTCAAAATAACATGCATGATCACAAAATAAAAACAATTCAATGTGCTTGGTGATTCCTCAAAGAGCAAAGCTAAAGATAGGGAGGAGAACCAAAAGCCCTAATGTGATCTTGTTGTGATTGAACCAACATGGTATGGTGAAGGGATCTTAGGGGCAAAAATTGGGGTACAATAACCATCAAAATGGACTTCCCTTTTGAATTAACATTTTTTTCATCAGTTCTTAACATGCTTAGCGATTCTGGAAGACTTTTGTCCATGTCATTCATGTTGAAATTCATTACAAATTGACTGAAGCTCTCTGGCAACGATTGCAAGATCAAATCAGTCGCAAGTTCCTTTCTAAGGGGAAACCCTAACCTTTCAAGGTTCTCCACATACCTAATCATCTTGAGTATATGGGGACCTACAGGGGTTCCCTCATCTAACTTCTTATTAAAAAGGGCCTTTGAAACCTGAAACCTCTCATTTCTTGCCTGCTCTTGATAGAGAATCTTCAGATGTCAGATCATATCGAATTCTGACATGTTCTCATGATGATTTTGCAACTATGAGTTCATGGTAGCTAGCATAAGGTAAGCGGTTTCATTGGCATCATCGACATGCTTCTTATAAGCATCTCTTTCTATCTTAGGTGTAGAACTAGGAGGTTCCACTTCAGGAACAGGCGTCTCTAAGACATATAACTTCTTATCTTGCTTGAGGATAATCCTCAGACTTTGGTGCCAATCCACAAAATTTGTCCCAAACAATTTTTCCTTATTAAGGATTGATCGTAAAATGTTGTTAGAGGTGTTTGTTGTCATGTTAATCTACAAGAAAAATATGAAAATATAAGTATCATTAAAACAACATATTCAATTAGGCCTTTAATCAAATATGCTCCCACTATTTTACTCAAACCAAATGACCCTCATCATTTGATTCAGAAAATCCAGTTGAAAGATTTTCTAGTGGGTCGAGATCCACATTTCACTTTGTTTTAAGTCAGTGTTAGGCTGATTACACAAAACTAGGTTATTTCGGTAGTAACTCCTTCCAATTGTATCTCATGCAATTCTCGAATATTTTCAGTAGGGTGAATATCTCCTTATTCTAATCCATCATATGAATCATTCCCAGCTCTTACTTCTAAACATGCATAATCTTATTATAATTTGTTTAGTTAAGTTTGACCTAGTGTTTTAGCAATTGGATATTACATTTATCCCATCCTACCTTACTAATATAGAACATGCACCTCACGTTAGGAAAAACCTACATTATTCGGTACTAGTCTTGATGAGTGCTAAAACTTGGAAAGCATAAACTTAATATTCTTTTTGAGGAAATTTGATATTAGTTTGATCTCACCGGCTTAACATGCAAATCGTATCTCACATGCATTAACATACAAACATATGCATCAACATACATATAAAAAGATATAGTTATGGCCCATAGCCCAATTTTTCTCCCAAGCCAATGAGAGAACCTAAGTTAACCTAATAACGATCTAAACTTCTCCAAGAAAGATCTCCAAGGTTGTCCTCCTTTGATATTGTATTCTTCTCTTTCTTCATAACATTACATTACATAAAAGAAAACTCGTTTTACATACGAGGGAGTAAGATGAGAAAAGAAGTTACATCAAGAGATTAAGAGAGAGGCACGACACGCATGCCGTATTTTAAAATCCCAAAACAAAATAAAATAAAACTAAGGCCATAACTGATCACCACAAGATAACAATAATAAACACTTTATTATTATCATTAATTTAAATTCTGTTAATTAAATAAATCAAATTAAATTTCAGCGATTGATCACACTATGCAGAGTTAGCTGGGGGTTCCACTACCCGGTCAACAGACAGCTGAACGGGGGTCAAGGGGGCAATGCCTCCTTGCAGGGTTGTTAGGGGAAGCGCCCCGATGCAAAATTTTAATGAATAATTCATTTGAAATCAGCGTCGTTTTTCACATAACTCTTGTGCTGTTACAACCCTAATCCATATAACTCTTTGACAGCACAACCCTTGCGCCGTCATGAACCCTAATACAAATATTTTCATACCGTCAAACATAACTCAATTGATAATTCAGTATGATCAATCAATATACCATTGCTTCACCATACTAACATCGGATTCCGAAGCGAATGAACAATGATCTTTCAAAAGAATAACAAGCATTCTGTGATTGAAAGGAAGAAATCGAAACAGTATATCAAATATACCATCTATGCACCATAATTGTTTATATCATATATAAATTTGATCTGTCATATTAGTGTAACTTATGGACGACCATGTATCGCTACTTCAAAATACTAGTGTCGGATTTCGAAGAATAGTCAACATCGATTCGGCCAAATCATACACACCATGATGCCAAAATTTAATTTACTAGATTACTATTCAATTCATTTTGTGTTTTAATCTGATTAATATATAACATATAGAAAATAAACAACTATCATATCCATGGTTTTGTAAGTGGCTTTGATACCACTGAGGGAAAATTGCGATCCAAAATGCAGCGGAAATTAAAATTTTCTTTTAGCGATCCTTCTGAATAGGCATGGTCAGTGATAGAATATATTACTTCTTGTGGAGATTCAGACTTTAGATGTTGTGATCACGAGCATTGATGAAGAACAATGCCTCAACTCAGTCCATATGAGCAAATCACTTTCAGTCACAGTGCTAACTTCTTATGAACGAAAACTTTGAGTGAGAGAGTGAGACAAAATACGGCTAAGGTTTCAAGACCGAAATTTCATCAAGAGAAATGCTTCAGCACAAGGGCTCTATTCATAGAACTCTTTGTATGGGTGGCAAGCTAAAAGCACAATTAAGGTTGCAAGCTAAAATCCCAATTAAGCAAACGATCATCATACCTTATGATATACCGCATATCACTTAAGCGTGTGGTACCTTACCATATTTCGTATTTCACTTAAGTGTATCGTACCTTACAGTGTTCTATAATTCATTTAAGTGCACCATACCTTAGTGTTCCTTATTTACTCTATCTATCATCAACCTGTCCTTATGTGTGTGACCCTGTAGGTTTTCGTGATGTTGGCAAATATATTAAATCACACATTCAACATAATAAACACTGAGCGGTATCTAGTAACACATCATTGCTACCCAAGTCACGAAAATTTCATGTGATCTGACGAAACCTTTTTATGATAATATTTGTGTGTACAATTACTTTTTTACCCTTATGTCTATATTGAACACAAGGCACAAACTGTGTCACTCTTGTCCAGTTCAATATTGGGCCTTTATACATTTATCCTGTAATGCAGGATGGGAAAATTCCATCTAGGTCACTCATGTCCCTCATCATGCTTTGTAAAGTACCCATTAACTATCTTTATGGTCATCCAGTTACGGATAACGTTTGATCAACAATAAAGTACTTAACTCTAGATCTAGGGTCCATAGTAGTTTCAGGTCGAAGGGTGGTATACACCATTATCACCATGATAGTAAATTATGACACCTTGCATAATATACTTAGTATTCTCATAGCGGGTCAATCCAGTATAAATACTACTCCTAATATTCATACCTATGTTAAGACTCGATAACTCCTTATCCGTGATCTATGAGATGTGATCATCAGTCTATTTTCATAATAATCTCTGTGATACGGTGTAATACCCCAAATTTGTCCTACCCTTCTACTTTTATCTGGTTTATGCATTGTCGCACTTTTCTCGTGTACATAACTCCATTAGGTCATTTAACATTGCATACATTCGCTAACAACATTTTTTGGCACGTGATCAAGGGTCTTGAAAATTAGGGTTCCTGTATGGCTTTGAGGCTCTTATCTTCATTCAAGAGATTCAAGTTGCTTCTTCAATATTCATGGTTGGGGATAGGATTTTGATTCGTGGTTGTTGTGGACTTATTTCTTATCAGGCTATAAGGGTATCTTCCCCCAAGTTCATCAGGGGATACAGTCGTTTGTATCGAAGTTACTTCAAGAACTAAGTGCATTAAGATTGTGAATGCTAGGGTTTCATCAAGGATTCATATAAAGATATTTTGAGTTAAAACTTGGTTTCTTATCAATATCTCGGTATCATTCAGTCACCAAGGTACATCTCAAAAGGATTAAGGTTCTTATGCATGGAATTCAGATGTGTTAATTCATTCATTCAAGTGATTCCATGAATTCAACCTATTCAAGGACATAAGTTTGGATTTGGCTCATGCTAAATTTGGAAGGTTCAGTCATGTGGTTTGCTTGAAATACAAGCAACAAGTAAAGTGTAAAATTCAAATTGCAAAGCATTTTTCAAGTCCATATTCCAAGAATTCTATACCTTTCATCATCAATTTCGAACTCATTCAGGATCCAAATCATTCATAAAAATTCAAGTTCAATTCACCCAAGGGTTATCATGCTGTGTTCGAATATATCACCGTCTATTTGATCTCACTCAAGCATCAAACCAATTTAAACAAGATTCATCAATGATATTCAAACCGTGTTCATTCCATAAAGACAATTACAACTAAATATTTCTCTGTTACATGTCCTTTACATCAAAAAATAATATGAAATAACCATTCCTAAACCTTAACACTCATCCTAAGCCTAGTGATTCCATATTCAACCTTTATCTAATATTCATGCTCCACTCTTTATGGCCAAAGGTTCTATGTTACAATCTTCACCTAACTTTAAGCTTCAACCATGTTTTCGCTTTCCCCTTCATCAACTCCATGGCCAAAGCTTTGCTTTCATCTTCACTAGCCTTTGTGTCTAAACTCCTTGCTTCATCAACTGCCTTGCATTCACATATCATGCTACGCCTTCACATATTGACCTACACAAAGCAAACAATATAAAATCATGTAAGGTTTTCCATTCACAAAAATACGAACCATGCTACGGGGACTGCATCCAAACATAACCAAACTTGCCTATGCTGTTATGCCTCGTTGTCCTGCTGTCCGATTTGATTTACCCTAAAACAGTACACTTATGCCACCACAAATACGCTACCTTGTTGTACCTCCTGCCTACCTGCATAAATCAGCCTACCTGCATAAATCAATACAGAAACAATCATTAAATCAAAACCATCCAAACAACCAAAAAGATTCCATAACCAATTCCAACTTTCCATTTTTCCCAATAACCTAACAAACTTCCTAACCGCTTCTAACAGAATTTTAAACATTCCCTAAACCATTTTCTAAAGCAGCCATGCACATAAAACTCTAACAACCAACTTTTCTAACTCATTCCCAACTGTCAAACAACCAAAACCAATTCCATAACCAGAAAATAGAAACAGCCCTGTAACTAACTTAACCAACCCAAAACAGTTACAGCATAACTAACATCCGGTAACAAACTGTTATAACAACTAACTCATCCCTAACCAACTAAATAGTCCAAACAAACCCCTAACCAATTTTCCCAACAAACTCTACAGAAGATATATAATAGAGTTCACAACATATACAAAAAAGAGATTGACAGAATAGGGGGATACGATTCAACAACCCAGAAAAGTGATAGAAAAATCTCAAGAAAAAAGTTCATCTCACCTTTTTCTCCGCATCGTTCCTCAATCCACCATTCCTTTTTACATCTTCATCCAACCGTAACAATTTGCTGCAACCTCAATCATCATCTCACAAACCTTTAATCTCCACGATCTTTTCTATGCATCGGGCTTCAATCATCATTATCAACCCTCATCAAGAAGGCCACGGTTCTTCGTCACTTTAGGAAAGCCTTCCGCAACAACATCAGCATCACGCATCTACAACCATATCAACATCAAATCCGCAGTAACAATTACCTCAATTAACCATAAAGAAATACATCACAGAATCGAGGACAAAATCAGATAAGAAGAGATGAAGAGAAGAAAACAGAAATACATTCTTACCTAATTTGATTCATCACGTTTCATCATCTGCCTCAACATCATTAGTGCGAGAACGATTCAAAAGAAATAAAAGAAAATAGTAGACAAACAAGCAGAGTTATACGTACTTGAGTTTGTTTCCGGTCCTATTATTAGCGCCATTGTCAGAAGGTCTCTGATAGGTAAATCACTCTTCCACTGTTTCCGATATTCTCTCCCTTGATCTTGCTGGCGGTATGTGAAGTTTGTTTGTGTGAATGAAATCCAAGATCTAAAGTTTGTTGAACGGTCTCTCGCGACGATGAAGCTGCAATGTAGTCGCGTTGAAGTATGACGAATTAGTATTGAGACAAAGGCCGATTGAAGCGGCGACGGAGGTGAAGAAGAGTCGCACCATGAGAGAAGAATCGCGACGTTGAAGGTGAAGAGGTTTCCGCCGCCGCGAGAGAGGAGGGTCGGTCTTGGCTTGTGGCGACGACATTGGATGAAGGAGAGAAGGGAAGGTATGCGCCGCGAAGAAGAAGAAAGCAACTCAGTCTCGCTAACCCTATTCCCTTTTCAATTTTCATGTTTTTTTAATTTTATTAGTTTTAATTTCTTTTATTATTTTTTGATAGCATAACAATAAATAAATAAAAAAACTGAATTCAATAAGTAAACAAAATTGGACTGGATTGTTGGTGCATTTGAGGCTGGGCCGATTTGCTCCCTGACTAGGCCCATTACTTTTTTTTCTGGTGGTCTTTTATTTGCAAAAAATTACTTGTGGACTCACTACTTGGGCCTAGCGCCCTTACTAAGCCACACTCCTTGAATTCAGCTTGTACCCCCTGATTCTTCTAATTTTTCTTTTTATTTTAGTTTTTCTTCTAGTTTAATTTTCTCTCTCAATTGATAATAAAATGATACAAAACAATAGAATATTTTAGATTTCTTTAGAATTTCTTTTTAGAATTTCGATTAGAATTTTTTCTATTTTATTTTTCATATTTGGTAATCATTTTTATTGACTTTTTTTTAGTCAAGATTTTTGTGATAGCATTGATATAACTCTTGCAATGTGGAATGCTCGGGGATAATTCTTCAATCACTCGCTCAAGGAAACTTTGATAGAATTCTCTTACCGCTTGCACAATTTTGAAGAGGCAACAGACCTTCTCCGTTCGGTATCGTCACAAATCTATTTTATTCTTCATTTTCGTACTTTATCGTAATCCATATGCATGCTAACATTAGGTAGAATTCCCTCAAAATTCTAACTTTAGGTCTAACAATACATAATAACATTAGGTTTAGAAGTAAGCTAGTCTCCTTTAAACTTTTCTTCCCCTTTCGCATACGCATCTAAAACTAAAACTTCTTTTCTTTTCAAATTTCAAAACACTTAAAAAAACTACTGATGAGAATCATGCTTTTGCTTAGTACGGGAAATGATAAGCGGGTCTCTTCTCGATCTTATTGTTCTTCATCTCAAGGTGGTTCAATTCTCAAAGACTCCTTTCATGACTAAGTAGAATAAATGGATAATATCTCTCTCTTGAGGTCAATCAGTCATCATCTACAACAAAAATACAAACCAATTCAAATCTTTTGTGCGCTCGAGCACCTTTCTAAGAAAACCCTTTTCAGGAAAGGACACGATTAATTTACTTCTGTGCCAACGCATAAGTCTCCAAAGGTCGAGCTGCGGCAGAAGGCGGAATTACCATTGTCCATAAAAAACACAAAATAAACAAAAACATATGAGCCGAACTACGGTAGCTCTGATTCCTCAAAATGGATACGTAGGCATTGGGGTAGGGCCCAGGCGAGCACAATTTTATTTTCCCTACATTTTTCCCTTTCTTTTGCATGCATTCTCCCCTTCAGTAGTATAGTAAACAGTAAGCATAGATTGAACACACCCATAAGATAGATAACAAGAGTGGATACCGTAGAGTACTACGGGCGTGTGGGGTGCTTATACGTTCCCTTCGCGTAACAGACTCCCTTACCCGATCTCTCGGTCGCAAGACCGTGACTTCTCCCTTCCTCATGTTTTCTCGATGTTTACCTTTCCCTACATGTGGGATAAAAGACGTTCGATGGTGACTTCATTGTTTGATGATTTTCAGCCGGTTGTTTCAGCTGGTGACTTCACTGGGGATAGGTCGACCAAATGCTGGTCCATCCCGGAGTCGCTCCTAGCTCTTGTTTTCTTTTCTTTGGGTGTTTATTTTTACATGCTTTCAGTTTATTCACTCATTCTTGAGCATACGTATGCATTGCATTTTACTGTTTTCCATATACTACTGTTGTGGCAATCTGCTTCTTGTTTGGGTTGGGATGATACTATTGAGGTAAAAGGCCCAGTACCCAGGCCAGAGTGCACTAGGAAACTAGGAATAGAGTGGGGGCATGACGGCTATAGGACGTGGTCCGATTAGTGCAGTCATGTCATATACCACGCTCGGATGAGGTTCAAATGAATTACTATCGGCACCCACGTCTGTGGATAAGCCCATAGCACTTTCAGGCGGACCCGTGATTTTCGAGTTACCATTGCCTTACCCTGACCTAGTCTTCCCCGTGAGTGGGGAGGCAACTTTATTACAGGTACAAATGGTGACTGTGTTCAGATGGTTATTCATGTACAGATGGTGACTATGCTCAGGCAGTGACTATTAGTTCTAATGGCTATGTTATGGATTTCTGTTATGACTTTATGCAGATGCTATATCTCTGTTAATGACCGTATGGTTCTCAGATTTATTTTCTGAGTTTCTGACTTGTTTACCTGGAGGTTCATTCAAGCCTTCAATCTTGGTATTACCAGCATGTTCAGAAATTCTCAACAGTATCCGATGTTCCAGAAGCCTTGATCCCGTACAATGGGAGATCCACATGGTACTTGGCTCTTATATATGCAGAAGCTATGTCTGACCTTTGATCTGATAATACTCACACGGTTCAGAACAGTGCAACAATCATATTCAGGAATGGTGGAACCTTGATCCTCTTTGATCTCATGCCTTTGCATACATAACATGGCTAACCACATGCTTAACATACATGTTCTATTATTTCCAAGGAATCATATTTGCAAGTCGTGTGGAACCTTTCCATCATCTACTTGCACAAAATCAAAATCAAAGCACGCAAATTCCTTGGAAATGACAGAACCTGACATGGCATTCATTAATACACCCCATGCATATTCATACATTCATTACAGGTACCCGAAGATTGGGGATTCTTATTCAGACTTGGGGTTCTATTCAAAGGTTCAACCTGATTTCTCACCGCACATGCTCAGAGACCAGTTACATGCAAGCTTTGGCTCATAGTCAGAAACTTCTTCAAGCAGGAAGATAATGGATTAAAGACTCAGATAAGCCAGGTCATGGAAACTCTGATGATGATGTCTATTATTTCTTTAAGACATGATATGCTTGGAAATGCATATTATACTGGGGCACCTGGCCAACCGATTGAAGAAGGTATGTCATCCAGAGACAATGTCCAAGACAAGCTCAATCCAGAGACTGTTGTGTTCACACTAAATCTGAAAGGGGATTCTCTCGCACACTCGAGCTTCAAGACTACAGAAAGTCGTTAGAATCAGCAAGTCCATACGGAGTCAAGTCTCCTCAACAGTAGCAATCATTGGTTTCTTTACTGCATTTTCATTTGCATTCTTGCTTGTTTGTTTAAACATTGCTTGTATATGGAAACTTGTCTATTTTTGAACGAAAATCTTAATGCAATAAGTTTGCTTGTCTCGAAGTGTTCCTTTCATTTTTACTCATCCATTCGTTATCACTCTTTAAATGTTTTACTTGCATATTGATGCCATTTCCTAGTCTTATGCTTAGGTAAAGATTCAAAGGAGGACGATGATAACCTAAAACACAAAAATCTCTGGTTGGTACGCTTTTGAGTAAGATTCTGCTGACGATGTACATGCCTTGTTTCAATCCCTAAACACTGGAGATATAAGGGAGAGAGACCCTCGTCAACCCCTCTGAGCCTTCGAAGTAGGAGTTTTCTTTCTATTCAGAAAAAACCCTCATTTCAACCCTGGGGCGGGTAGTGTTCAGCTAATCTGATCAAGCATTCATAACTCATCAAGAGTGTGCATCCAAGGATACAACAATGGTTATCCATCAAAAGTTGAGGAAAGTCAAAACCATAAAGGTTAACCTTCATATATCAACAACATGCATCAACTAACGATACCCCAATGAGTATCCCTCGCACATCAGGAGGTCGACAGATGACGATACAACAATGGCTATCCATCATTTGCTAAAGACTCAGGCAGTCACGATCACTTCCAACAAATCAAGACAACGCAAAGATCAACGACTTGTTCAAAATGAAAAATATGAATAAGAAAGAAACAAAAATCCCCGCTAAGTCGAAACTTGAAAACAAGTCGCTTAGGCAAAAATTGGGGCATCCCGCTGGACTCCCAAATCGAAATTCAAAAGAATTTGTCCAGGCAAAAATTAGGGAAAGCAAGAAAGAAATCGAAAAGCCTAAAAGGCGCGAAAAGGATTACCAATGAAAATCCTCATCAAATAACAAGGTCGTCTGATCAGACACCAAAATCAGAAGTTAGTGACTGTCGTGTCCAAGAAACCACAGTGGTTCCTCAACCGTCGCAAACTCTTCTAGAGAGATGAATGCTTATATCAGGTCAACTGAACGTAGGAATGGAGAACATCATGGAGAATGGGGGGGCACCAAATAATTTTGAGCCTTAAATCCTTTTTTCTAAAACCGTGAACCAGGCCACGTTACAACCCATAAAAGTCCTAATTGAAGCATGGGTCAATTCGAAAGCTTGCTACAACGAGATAATGTTTAACTGACTCCTAAGAGGTATGTTTGAATATCTTTGTTGGCATCATATGCTTGCATTATCTTTCATAAAAAGGAATTTGCAAATGTCTCTCTCTAGCTAGTGACTCGTTCACAACAGAGTCGTGACGTCATTTCATTCAAAGTTTTTTTCAAACTTCAAGACTTGCATATGTGTTGCATTAGAATTATCATTCTCAAAATAAACATTATTCTGCATACAAAACAACTGGTTGAAATCAAGTAAGTTTACACAATGAACAACTGGTAAAGAGCTTAATCTTGTCAGAAAAGAGAGGCTTGAATACCCTGTTGAAGCAAGAGTCAGCTTCCACAAGAGAAATGACTTATCCAGTAGCATGTTGACCGGTGATTCTGTCAAGAGAAATCATCTTGGTACTTTACAGTCTGAGTACCATTCATGGATGAAGTTAGTAGAGCCTGTCAATCTGGGGCAATCAAGTCGAGAATCAATCTCTCCAAGCTCAGCCAAATCTGGGGCATTCCCTCAAAGTTATCAATCAGAGGTTATCACGTCACTTAATCTCTTCAAGTTATCAATCAGAGGTTATCACGTCGCTTAATCCCTTCAAGCTCGATCAATCAGAAGCTATCACGTTCAGAGATCTATTCAGA